ATTTCTTGAAATCTCCATGAGTAAAGCATAATCTTTGCATAGCTGTACCCTCCCATGTGGAGAAAATGCAGGGCATAGGGGGTGGGGGGTATGGCTTATAAACCGCAGATGATTGACTTGACACTTGAAACTTCTGTAACCTATAACTGTGAACAGACACTAAAGAAATGAAATCTATTTGTGTTATACAAATGATGTTAGAGAGGAAGGAGACAGCCTCATAGCATCCAGCTCTTCAATGGTTTGTTGTAAGCACTTACCACTTACTGGCATCAACAGTTTGCACTTTTCTCTGTGCGAGGGTTTTGTTTGCACAATGAGAAATTCTTCTACCTGTCAACTTTAATTGATTGGTTCTTTACACAAGTCATGCATGTATTATACTTAGTGAGTGTTTCTCCACTGTATTATCCTGTAGTGCATGTAAATATTGTGTTTATTCTTAACTTTATTGTCCCTCTAGTGGGTTGGGGAACCGACCAGCTGACCGGATTTGGAGAAGAGAGAGGGACCAAGCATCAAGTTATTAATCTAATACACTCTATTACGACTTTCATGAGAAGTAAGTTTACCTCTTGAAGCCCCAAGCATGAGCATGGAACCCTGATATAACAAAGAGCCAAGGGACTGGCAAAATTTGTTCGCTATAAAGAGTTTTTGTTATGTCGAGGTTCTTTTTCACATATTTTACTATTATTGGGGTAAAGGATATCATTTGTTATACCAAGGACTTCGTTATATAGAAGTTTGTTAAATCGAGGTTCCACTGTACAGTCCAACTTCCATGTGCAACCATCTCTCCTAAGTCGACACCTCCTACGCTGTACAACCAACCACTAGTTACAGTAAACACCTACGTATAAGAACCTACATTTTTCCAACTTACAGCTTTAATGGGTACTTATAGAAATGGTATTAACACTGTAGGTTTGACAGTATTTTCTACGTTATTATTATTATTATTAGATGTATTATTATCATAATTATCATCATTATGAATGTGACATGTAGCCATGTAGCCTGCGTAGCAAGCGTTTCCAATCGAGTTATTGTTCCTTCTTTCCCCTCCCCCTCCCCCGTCATTCTTTTTTTTTTGCTCTTGTCCCAGCTTTCTAGACGAACCTTGCTAGGAAACGCTTGCTACGCAGGCTAGTAGCCATGTTAACTGTAGTTTGTTAGTTGTTGTTTGAATGTTTCGTTTCTCTATCTTTCCTGTTTCAGTTCCTCTTATACTGTTAAACTCTCTGACAATACTGTTACTGCTGCTGATGGGATAAGCTCATACAAAAATCAGAAGTTATAAACATTCCTGCTCACTGAAGATGCTCTGGATTAAAACTGGATTGAATTATTGTACAGTCCTCTTGAGATGGGGCTAAGTCAAGGTCAAGACAATGTATGAACTGTAAAACCACTGATACAGTTGGCTGTTTTGGAGCAAGTACTGTGTCAGTGACACCAACCAAAGTGGTTCTATCGCACATCTCTGCTTTTCAAACCATTTTTTTTTTCATACTCTGTTAATTAGAATTATGAATTAGGGTCATTGGTCAGGGCTGCATTGTTCCAAAGATGTTTGGAGCAAACCCAGTATGGCATTTTTATATGACAGTACTGAATCGGTATTGAATAAGTGCCACCCTTGATACAAATGTATGTAAGTGACGCAACCACCCTATAAAGAAGCAATGACTTCGAATTAGGGCTGCATTTGAGGCACAAAAACGTTTTTCCAGTAAATACGGCAAGCATAATTTTGTAGAACTTGGCCCAGAAGTGAACCGTTTACTAGTTTCAGCTGATAGTTGATGGTTGAACCTTGTACAATGTCATGCCTTCATTTACCTAAACTCTAAACTAGGATACGAAAGTAGGTATCTTACTACTTGTTTATTTTAAGGGTCTAGAATAAACGATGCATGGTATGCAAATAGCATAATATATGCAGAAAAGACTCTTGTGCAAAACCTGATTGATTTCACCATACCAGGGCCTGATACTCAGCTTAATTTGAGAGTGTGGGTTGTGTGTTCCAAAATATCAATGTACTTATTTTGAACCAAAAAGGGTTTTTTTATTGGGGGGGGGGGGGGGGG